TTATACAACGCCTTACGCCTAGACTTGATTAGTAGACAATCTGTCAAAATTTTCATACCAAAATTATGAAAACAGGTTTCAGCATGACAAGTCTGAAAACTTTATCAGAATTTTCAGACCTTCTGCTTAGAATTCAGACTAACCGGTGTGATCTCAAATTTCAGAGTTCCTAGTCTGAAAATTCAAAGCAACTTTCTGAATTACCGATTCAGACTGCAAAGTCTAAACAAATTGTACTGAAATTTCAGAATTTTTTTTACAGTGTGACGAAACTCACAGATAATTGGCTTCTTTCGCCAAAACCTCTCAAGTCGAAGCTGTACTTATTTAGGTATTATCACATGATTTTAAACAAGAAAGTCAAGGCGACGGACACCCTAACTTATTGCGAGTTCAGGCATTTGGTTTAAACCACTTATTGAAGCCTAAAACATACACTGTTAAAAATTTTTGCTGAAAATTCAGACTTTTTTGACTGAAGTAAATATGCAGAACATCCTACTGAAAATTCAGACTAAATCCTGGTCTGAAATTTTCAGACTTACACAAGTCTTAACCTTTCAGGCAGGTCGTAGTCTGAAAAATTCAGACAAAATGTCTCAATTATTAGATTTTTTTGTCTGAAAGTGGAAGCAGGAAATTTCCCCGTAACTCGGTAAAATGATAATGTTTGCATCCGAACCTTAAAGGAGAGACGTATTGCAAGGGACCGTCTAGGCAAAAAATTGAGTGTAGGGAAATGTCCCTTAAGCGGGACTCTTCCCTGCACTTATCTGGAGCTGGCCTGACGCACCCAAGGAAACGACGGCACGGAGCCACCCGCGAGAGGTAACTTCAAATGTCAATTGTTAAACTCGCGCGTTTGCTACCGATATAAATTTGGTATGGGAGCGTGTGTTTCGTCATAGCCAATAGGGTGATAGCCATTTCGGGTTAAAAATATGAAAAATTTAACAGAAAAAACACGTTTTTAACAACAGCAGGCTCTTTACCGACACTGGCGCCACCTGGCGGAGAGAAAAATGCTTTCGTTTTGTCTGAAGTCCCCGAAACGGAGTCGGATTAAATTGAATGCAAGACTGATTGTGAGTTAACCCAATGTTAGGTTGCAAGAAAGCTGTCCAATTTTCTCTTATGTTTGAACATATTTCAGAAAGTAGTCTGAATCCAAAATTCAGACTCTTGAGGTCTGAGAAGTCTGACGCAAGTTCATATGAATTTTGAGAATGAGTACAAATATTAAGACACTTCGAGTCTGAACCAAGCTTTCAGACAAAGCGTTTAAGAACTAAGACAAAAACTCTGATTTTTCGGAATTAAGTCTGTTTTACAGATTCAGACCGCTAAGTCTGACAAAATTGGTCTGAATTTTCAGAATTTTTTTAACAGCGTAACAAACAGAAGCGTTTACACATAAAATTACATTTTTATTGGCCTAGATTTTTAGCAAGGAACAGTTCGTTATCCGATACAAAAATATTAGAAAACGACAAAACTTAATACATTTTTAAACTGGGAACTAATGACAATAAAAATAAGCAGCTAAACATTGACATCATAAGAACGGTTGAAACAGGTTCCAAAGTACTGCACGACGGTGCTTTCTTGCACTAGAAAACACGTTGAGATATGTTTGCCACACCGAAGTGGACTGACAAAGTTTCACAAACATGGCTTCTTTCACCACACACTCATATACTGTCATACGTTGTAATTTAACTAAAATTATGAACTTATCGCTTTCACGAGCACGGGCAGAAATACCACAGGGAGCTTTCTTCAAACGTCACACTCCAAAGCCTTCAAATTCGCCAAGAGACGACACATTAGCACGGCGTTTCCCTGAGTTACGGTCAAGTATGAATGCATTTGTGGCGGCGTAGAGCTGAGGGATCAGAGAACTTCTTCGCGCACACTTTGCACTCATACGGCTTCTCTCCAGTGTGAATCCTTTTGTGCAGAGTAAGATGTTGGTTCAGCTTAAACTTCTTCCCACACACGTCGCACTCATACGGCTTCTCGCCAGAATGAATCCTCTTGTGCGCAGTCAGATTGCCTTCTCGGTTAAACTTCCTCCCACACTCGTCACACTGGTACGGCCTCTCCCCGGTGTGGATCCTTGCGTGCCTCTCCAGATCCGCAGCCCAAGTCCACTGCTTGCCGCACACTCCGCACGCGTGCCGCCCCGCCTTGGAGTGCCCCGCCAGGTGCTTCCGCAGGTCCGCCTCGGCCCGGAAACTCTTGCCGCACTCCCCGCACTTGTACGCGAGCCGCGCCTTCCCGCCTCGCTGCCGCCGCGAGGCCTGCTCCACCTGCCCCGCACCGCCGGCCGGGCCAGCCAGCGAGAAGGTGCCGCTGATGACCAGCTGCGGGGTCTCCGCCGGGACGGGGCCTGCAACGCCGAGTGGGTGCAGAACGAGTTAGCGAAGGACAAGCCAAGCGCCAATCCCAGTAAGACAACCAGACAGCAGGACCAATCCACATGAGCCCCATCAGGCAAGGAGCTCGTCTGCTACTCTTTGAAGAAGCTGGAATGTACAACGAATTAAAAACTACACTCTAAAGTCCACAAAATTGGTTCCAAATACTAGAGGCTACAAGCATACAAAGGTGGTTTCCTTTCCTACGAAGTCTTAAGTTCTTGAATGAACAACTAAAGTTTATTCAAGAATCACGTACGTCATAGTTCCCTAACCGCTATGACTCGAAAAAGGTCAATCATCCAGCATAAGGTGTACTCTCCCCCCAGCCTTCTGGCGTGCTTGCCAAGTACCACCTAAATGCTCCAGTAAGCCCCGCTCCGAAGTGTCCCCCCAACCGGACTCAGGTGCTGCCTCCAAGCACTGCCAATAATACGAAGAAATGCGAGCCTATCAAAGGCTTTCCCGTTAACATGTGCGAATGTTCGAAATGAGGAAAATTAATTCAATCAAATAGTTTCGATTCGAACGCCACGGATTGCGATTCGATACCGAAAGTTCGAAAAGAAGTAACACGTTTCCCCCGATGCCCGTCCTTCGCCCAGCCATTGATTTGGTCACTCCATGCCTGGAGTTTCTAAGGGCGCAACTTCTTTATAGCCCCGTTTGGCTTCCCCTCCGACCCGTTTCCCACTTTATGTAACTGACAACAAACCCCAAGGCGTCGCCACATTTCGAAAAGGTTCAAAATTGGCAATATTCGGATTCCATTCAAAATTTCGTGGTGTTCAGTTCGTTGATCGGGGCAAATCCGGTTCGTCCCACGGTCGGGCCTTTTGCGGGAGTCGTCCTTCGTCGACAAGTCTCCCTTCGACACCGCAATCACGGCGATTAGAAACTTTTTAAATACGTTCACAAAAAGCGAAAAGATCCCGTTCCGAAGAAGACTGGTTCGCAGAAGCTTGGACGGGAACTCACCACGAAAACACGGCAAATTTCATTGCAACCTTTAGAGTGATTCAGACCCCAGGCGGCAAGCGGACCAATAAGCCATTGATCCATCACTTGATCCAAGTGCACGTCGCAAGCCGCCTCAGACTGGGGCATCCAAGTATGCGCTCCAGCGCCTGCAACACACCGGATCTGAGCCTCCTTCCAATTGAAAGTTCCCGTTAAACGCCGCGCAGCATCGCATAGAGGAAAAATTAATTCAAGTTAAAACAGCGAAAAGCAACGCCCAGATTGCAAAGCTAAATCGACTGGTTGCTCAAGTTGTGTAAGAAAGCGTGCCTCTGCCCACCGCGATGGTCCACGCGTCGCCACACTGAAAAACCAAACGTGGTCAAGACCACACCACTGGTGTGGTCAGATGGATGCCATATGCCATTTTGACCACATCAGTTGGTGTGGTCCAGACCACGTTTGGCCACGTTTAGTGTGGTCTAGACGACACCAAACGCACCAAACGTGGTCTAGACCACACCAACTGGTGTGGTCAAAATGGCATCCATTTGACCACACCAGTTGGTGTGGTCTAGACCACGTTTGGTTTTTCAGTGCACTCCACCCACCTTTGTCCCCAGGGCCGGCGTCCTCGTCCGCTCCGCAGTCGCGTCCTCCAGGCGCCTCCAGGTCCTCCGCCTTCACGGAACCTGCAAGCAAGGCGGACTTCAGAAACCAGCCAGCCAAAACGTGCGGCCAACGCCGGGCGAGTCTCCCAGTCCTCGCGGCGGGCTGGGCCGCAGGAAGCCGTGGACGCGGAGAGACTCGGCCAGCGAACCACAGGAACATGCCACGGCCAACCCATGCAAGAAGCCATGCAAGACACCAGCCCAGCAAAGCCACCTAATAAACAGACATTGATAATGGTCAGTTATTGCAATTTAAAATGAAAGAGTGAGCAAATTATTAGACTTTTATTACATTCAAGTAATGAGGTTCACATAATATCGCACTGCTCTGAAAACTACTGAAGGCTCTTTCAAAATTGAGAAGCCCACGTTGGGGAAAAGCCCCTTAAGTGTGCGGCTCCCGTAGCTTATCTCTCCACAACAGTAATTATCTCATGGTGCAAGGAAGTCGGCGATCTTTCTACGCTCAAACAGCCCTGGTACTGCAACAGCACACGAGACAGAATTCAGAATCAGGAGTCAAAGAAATAATGGCAATGGCAGCAAAAAATTATAATCATGAAAACGGTTGGAACAGATTTCAGAGAACAGCACGACGGTACTCTTGTTGTACTCGCGAACACGTAGATAATCGTACAGCACACCTTAGCGGACGAAACTCACAAATAATTGGCTTTTCTCGCCAAAACCTTCCAAGTCCAAGCATTACTTGTTTCGGTATTATCACATGATTTTGAACAAGAAATTTAAGCCGACGGACACCCTAACTCATTGCGAGTTCAGGCATTTGGTTTAAACCACTTGAAGCCTTAAACATCAAAAACAGAAGCGTTTACACGAAAAATTACATTTTTATTGACCTAGATTTTGAGCAAGGAACAGTTCGTTATCCCACACAAAAATATAAGAAAACGAGAAGACTTAATACACTTTTAAACTTAATGGCAGTACTATCAAAACATCCGACTTTGCAGGAGTACAACCCAAATTATGAGCTTTAAGTTGTTACAAGCATGGAATAAAATATCAGAAGGAACTTGTTTTTGCCCAAATCACACTCCAAGACCTTAAAACTCGTCAAGAAATAAAGCACTTACACTTGATGAACTTGAATTGCATAGAGCACACAAATATAAGACAGAATTCACAAACAGGAGACTAGGAGCTAATGACGATAAAAATAAGCAACTAAAATTTAACTTCGTGAAAACGGTTAAAACAGGTTCCAAAGTACTGCACGACGGTGCTTTCTTGCACTCGAAAACACGTTGAGATTTGTTTTGCACACCGAACTTGGCTATGGCAAAACTTTAAAAACATGGCTTCTTTCACCAATCACACATATACTGTCTAACGTTGTAATTCAACTAAAATTATGAACTCGTCGCTTTCACGACCACGGACTGAAATAGCACAGGGAGCTTTCTTCAAACGTCACACTCCAAAGCCCTCACATTCGTCAAGAAACGACACACTAGCACAGTTTATCCCTTGGTTACTGTCTAGCATGAATGCCCTCGTGGCGGCGAAGATTTGAGGGATCAGAGAACTTCTTCGCGCACACCTTGCACTCGTATGGCTTTGCACCGGCATGAATTCTGCTGTGCACAGTCAGATTAACGAGCTGGTTGAACTTCTTTAAGCACACGTCGCACTCGTACGGCTTCTCTCCAGTATGAGTCCTCTTGTGCACAGTGAGATGTTGGCTAAGAATGAACTTCTTCCCACACTCGTGACACTCGTACGGCCTCTCCCCGGTGTGGATCCTTGCGTGCTTCTTCAGATCCGCAGCCGAAGTCCACTGCTTGCCGCACACTCCGCACGCGTGCCGCCCCGCCTTGGAGTGCCCCGCCAGGTGCTTCCGCAGGTCCGCCTCGGCCCGGAAACTCTTGCCGCACTCCCCGCACTTGTACGCGAGCCGCGCCTTCCCGCCTCGCTGCCGCCGCGAGGCCTGCTCCACCTGCCCCGCACCGCCGGCCGGGCCAGCCAGCGAGAAGGTGCCGCTGATGACCAGCTGCGGGGTCTCCGCCGGGACGGGGCCTGCAACGCCGAGTGAGGGGCAGAACGGGCAAGAGGACAAAGTAAAATGTCAGTCCCGTGAAAGTATATAACCGCTGGATAGTGGAAACAACACTTTTGAATAGATTTACTATAAATATATTGGCTTTCACTTAAGGACGATTTTAAGGCAAGTTTCCTTTTGAAGGATGTCATGACAAAATTCTCAGCCCCGTGCAGTAGGAGTCCTAGTGAAAATGCACTACTTTGCAACTCAGTGCAGGTACATACGCAATGCATACACGCCAAATACACGCTAAATGTTTATGTGGAATTTTGTACGTACCACTTGCACGATTTTGTGCATGCGGGGGATTTGCATAATCACTGTTAAAAAAAGTCTGAAAATTCAGACCAATTTTTTTAGACCAAGTGGTCTGAACCTGAAATTCAGACTTGAGTCAGAATTTTCAGATAGTTGGTCTTAATTTTACACCTTGTGGTCTGAAAAATGAGTTTCGGACTCAAGAGTCTGAATATTTGGATGGCGCGGTATAAATTTTCGGCGTCGGGGTCTTAAAACAGTCATTTGTAGTAGAAGGTCTGAATTTTCATCCTGCGTAGTCTGAAATTGACGCTTTATTTTCTGATAAAAGGCATGACTGTGTTTCAGGTGCTATGGACCCTGAATTGCTAGAGCAGTAGTAAATGAACTTTTGCTCAGCTAAGCGAACGGCCGTCTAGTGTTGAGTTTAAAATCGGCCTGCACTCCGCTGGTAGCTGCAGGATGCGACATGTTTGCCCTGGTTCCGGCCTGGACCGAAGCCCGGGTCACCCGAGCCGAGCCGAGCCGCTCCGGCGGCGAAAATTTCGTCCGTTTTGCGATATCTCGACTCCTTCATGCCCAAACGGCCTCCCCAACCGCCCGCGCGGCGTCTTTTTTATGCTCACGGTTGGGGAGGCCGTTTGGGCGTGAAGGAGTCGAGATATCGCAAAACGGACGAAATTTTCGTCCAAAGGGTCGATTTATGGCCTGTTTACCCTAGAGTCAAACTTAGTTTGGTGAAAATCCGAAAAAAAAATTGGCTTTTTGCCTTTATATAGGGTCTTGGGGCACGGCTTTGGTAAGTCTGACGACCTTGGGCTTTCAAATTAAGAGTTTTCTCACCATTTCGGTCATTTTGAGTCGGGGAACCCAGCGGAATTCTCACTTTCGCAAAATAAGGGCTGGTCTAACAGTGTGTACAGTGCCGTTTTGCCTTCGCCTTTCTGTGCTCCAAAATTGCTTCGGGTGCGTGCAGTCACCACTCTGAAGCATCCGAAATCCGCGGCAAGCAGGCTGTGAAAGTGGCGTAGCCTTACGCTGATATTGCGTCTTCCAAACTAAAGGGACGGGTGATGAGGGAGTGGGTGGCGTTTTGGAAATTTGTCACTCCTCTTTCATTCTCGTCCCCAAAGCATTTTCATCGTGCCGAAAAAGTTTCCACAAAGTGTGCATCTGGATCCAACATGCTCCTTTCCAGTGTTTACAGCTGCATCTTCTGGAGTCTTACATTCGAGGACTAGTTTTTTTGTTTGGGAAGCTCTCTTAGCAAAATATCATATCTAGTTAAAGTTTTGCGCAACTTTGGGTGCTACATTTAACAAAAAGAGCTGTTTTACAACTGCTCTATTTAGTGCATGCATTCCATGTTTCTCAGCAATTTAAAACATGCATCTCCAACACATAATATACATCCTAACAAAAGTGGTAATTTTATTACCTGGGCGGCTTAGAATTCAAACCCGCGAGGTGAAAAATTCAGACTGTCATTAGTCCGAAAATTCAGACTACCTGGTAGTCGTAAAATTCAAAGCACATGCTAGTCTGAAAATTCAGACGACAGGTGGTCCAAAAATTCAGAGTGTCCGGAGGTCTGAAAATTCAGACCACTAGGTTTCAAAATTGACTTCATCCTAAAAAGTCTGAAAATTTCGACTTTTTTTTTAAACAGTGATATTATGCGTGAAAATGCATTAATTTATGCAAATTTGTGAACAATTTTACGCAAAACGTCACGCAGGTTTAAAATCGTGCATCACCACCAACATTGTGATTAAGTGTAGAGGAGTCACGCAAGTTACTGATTGGAAAGCACAGAGAAATGTCTTCGTGTGTGTTTCAAAGGTACCGAAGAAAAATGCTAATGCAAGGCAAAACCAGGCAATATTTCCTGAATGCGGCATGATATGTAACATGTCGTGGTTGCAAGGCTCGCCCCTTGCATGTAATCCGTTCCTTGCAGTTACTCGGCGCTGTGTCCAAGCAACCCTCAACAATCACAAAATGAAAGCTGCTGCACTACTCAGGTCTTGCACTCTACACCGACTGTGCGGCGACGGGGTTCGAGGGCTCGCGTTCAAAACGACATTCCAAGTTTACACGAGTGACGCGGATACGGTTCGCAACAACGTATCCCGTTCTACCACGCAGCGCAGCAATGCATGGAAGAAAAAGTAATTCAAATTAAAACAGTGAAAATCAACGCCCAGATTGCAAAGCTAAATCGACTGGTTGCTCAAGCTTAGCAAGACAGTGTACCGGCGTCCCGCCCGCCGCGGCGGTCCACGCGTCGCCACTCCACCCACCTTGGTCCCCAGGGCCGGCGTCCTCGTCCGCTCCGCAGTCGCGTCCTCCAGGCGCCTCCAGGTCCTCCGCCTTCACGGAACCTGCAAGCAAGGCGGACTTCAGAAACCAGCCAGCCAAAACGTGCGGCCAACGCCGGGCGAGTCTCCCAGTCCTCGCGGCGGGCTGGGCCGCAGGAAGCCGTGGACACGGAGAGACTCGGCCAGCGAACCACAGGAACACGCCACGGCCAACCCATGCAAGAAGCCATGCAAAACACCTGCCCAGCATAACTACCATAGAAGTTGTAATTGAACATACTCGATTATTGCTATTAAACAAGAAAGGGACAGCAATTATCAGACTTTTATTAACTTCAAATAAAGAGGTACACATTATACTGCACTGCTCTGAACACTAATGAAGGCTCGTTTAACACTGTGAGGCGCATGCTCGGAAAAAGCCACCGAAGTGTGAAAGGAAGTCGGCGATCTTAATACGCTCGCACGCGGCCCTGGTCCTGAAACAACAAGCAAATATTAGACAGAATGCAGAAACAGAAGTCTAAGAGATAACGGCAAAAGCAGAAAAAAATTGACATCATGAAAACGGCTGGAACAGATAACAGTACAGCACGACGGTACTCTTCGAACGCGCGAACACGTCGAGAAATGTTTTCATTTATTGCCGGATTCTCACACGATGTTAAGCAACAACAAGAAGACGATGGACCCCTTATTTTTCGCGAGCCCAGGCATTTGTTTAAACAACTTCAACCGTAAAACCTTAGCAAAAACAGAATTGTTCACAATAAAAACTACATATGTTAGTGACTCACATTTTCATCAAAAAATACTTTGTTATCCGACACAAAAAAAGGAAGAAGAGAACAAGGCTTTATACACTCCTGAACTTAACGGCAGCTCTACCAAGACAACACACTTCACTGGAGTACAACCAAAATTAGGAACTAAAAGTTGTTACGAGCATGGAATAAAATTTCGGAGGAAACCTCTTTCTGCCCCAACACACTCCAAAGCCTTTACACTTCGCAAGAAATGTGGCTCGTGCACTTGGCACATGTGTTCACTTATCACACCAGTACAAGACTGAACTCACAAACAGGAAAAAAATTACTGCAGTAGGAGTTATCAGCAAAAAAACAATTGGCAACATGAAAACGGTTGTAACAGATTCCAAAGTACTGCACGACGGTGCTTCGGTATACTCGAAAACACTTCGAGAAATGTTTAACATACCGAAGTGGACTCTGACAGAAATTTACAAATAAGGCTTCTTTCACCAAACAGTCAAGCCGAGCGACGTCACAACTTAGAGCGAGTACACGAGTTTGATTTAACAGCTTGAGCCGAATAACCTTCACAAAAACCGAAGTCTTCAAAAGAAAAAAGCACTTATTATTATAACTGATCATCATCAACGAACAACATGACACAAAAATACAAGAAAGGAGGGAAATAGTTTAACAAGATTACAGACTTCGCAAAATTAAACTAAAATTAGTAGCTGATAGCTTTCACGAGCATGAAATGATATATCAAAAGAAAGTACGTTATACGCACGACATATTCCAAAGCCTTAACCAAGAAACGACACACTAGCACAGCTTATCCCAAAGTTACTGTCCAGCATGAATGCCCTTGTGGCGGCGTAGAGCTGAGGGATCAGAGAACTTCTTCGCACACACCTTGCACTCGTAGGGCTTCGCACCAGAATGAATCCTGTTATGCACAGTAAGAGTACCGAGATTGGTAAACTTCTTCCCACACACGTCGCACTCGTACGGCTTCTCTCCAGTATGGATCCTCTTGTGCCTTGTTAGATCACTTTCCTGACTAAACTTCTTCCCGCACATGTCACACTGGAACGGCTTCTCACCAGTATGAGTCCTCTTGTGCACAGTGAGGTGTTGGCTAAGAATGAACTTCTTCCCACACTCGTCACACTTGAATGGCTTCTCCCCAGAATGAATCTTCTTGTGCACAATGAGATTGCTTTCCTGGTTAAACTTCTTCCCACACTCGTCACACTGGTACGGTCTCTCCCCGGTGTGGATCCTTGCGTGTTTCTTTAAATGCGAAGCCGAAGTCCACTGCTTGCCGCACACTCCGCACGCGTGCCGCCCCGCCTTGGAGTGCCCCGCCACTCTACCAAAAATGTCCTGTAAATGCCGTTAATTTATTACCAGTTTTCACTGTAGGCCAATGCACAGCGTTTACTGTGATCTGCTCACGGGATTCACTGTGATCTTGGTCGCGGTGTTCACTGTGATCTGGTCCCCAGTAAACACTGTGAGTTTGACGCCGCTGAGCACCGAAGTACTGCAAATCAGGCTCCAATTCACGGCGTTTACTGTGGCCAGATCACAGTGAACACTGTAACCGAGATCACAGTGAACGCCGTGAACTAGTTCACAGCAAACGCCGTGAATTGAATAACAGCAAACATTGGTAATAAATTAACGGCGTTGACAGGACATTTTTTGTAGAGTGGCCAGGTGCTTCCGCAGGTCCGCCTCGGCCCGGAAACTCTTGCCGCACTCCCCGCACTTGTACGCGAGCCGCGCCTTCCCTTCCTCGCTGCCGCCGCGAGGCCTGCTCCACCTGCCCCGCACCGCCGGCCGGGCCAGCCAGCGAGAAGGTGCCGCTGATGACCAGCTGCGGGGTCTCCGCCGGGGCGGGGCCTGCAACACCGAGGTGGGGGGCAGAATGGGTAAGCGAAGTGCCAATGCGTGTGAAACCACCAGACGCAGCAGGGCGAATCCACCTGAACCCTATCGTGGAACCCTAGCAAGGAGCTCGTCGGGCACTTTTTGAAGAAGCTGCAATCGATTTCATTGAACCTGTATCTGCTCTCATCCCGCAGGCCGCGGCATTCCGGACTGCTTCGCCAAGCAGTGGAGACTCACCTTCGCCTCCAGAGTCGCCGTCCGCTCCGCAGTGCCGCCCTCCAGACTCGGGGGCCTCCAGGTCCTCGCCCTCCACGGCGCCTGCAAACAACACCGCGTTACTGAGCCGTCCTTGCCAAGACACGTTTCCCGTTCAACCACGCAGCGCAGCATCGCACAGAGGAAAAATTAATTCAAGTTAAAACAGCGAAAGGCAAGGCCCAGATTGCAAAGCTAAATCGACTGGTTGCTCAAGTTGTGTAAGAAAGCGTGCCTCTGCCCGCCGCGGCGGTCCACGCGTCGCAACTCCACCCACCTTGGTCCCCAGGGCCGGCGTCCTCGTCCGCTCCGCAGTCGCGTCCTCCAGGCGCCTCCAGGTCCTCCGCCTTCACGGAACCTGCAAGCAGGGCGGACTTCAGAAACCAGCCAGCCAAAACGTGCGGCCAACGCCGGGCGAGTTTCCCAGTCCTCGCGGCGGGCTGGGCCGCAGGAAGCCGTGGACACGAAGAGACTCGGCCAGCGAACCACAGGAACACGCCACGGCCAACCCATGCAAGAAGCCATGCAAAACACCTGCCTTGCAAAACAACCATAAAAGCTGTAGAGGTACTGCTAAACGGACAGCAAATAATCAGACTTTTATTAACTTCAAATAAAGAGGTACACATTGTACTGCACTGCTCTGTACACTACTGATGGCTCGCTTGACAGTGGGAAGCGCATGCTGAGAAAAAGCCCAATGAGATTCCAAACGCTATGAGTATAGCACGTATGGTGCAATGCGCTGAGATATCGCACCTTACGTGCAATGCCACAGCCATATTGCACCTTAGGTGCAATGCTTCCCGAAAATGCCCTATGCTAATGCATGGGAAATTGGCGGCATTGCACTTCATGTGCAATGCTTTTGCATTGCACCAATTGACGCTTTACTCATAGCGTTTGGATTCTCAGTGCCACCAAAGTGTGCAAGGAAGTCTGCGATCTTTCAACCCTCGCACAGCCCTGGTCCTGAAACAGCACACAAATATAAGACAGAATGCAGAAAAGGGAGTCTTAAGAAATAATGGCAAAAGCAAAAATTGACGTCATGAAAAGGGCTGGAACAGATTCCAAAGTACAGCACGACAGTACTCTGTTGTACTCGCGAACACGTCGAGAAATGTCCTTCACACCGAAGAGTCCGTGACGAAACTCAGTTATGGCTTCTTTCATCCAAACATCCTACGTTCAAACTTATGTCGGCATTCTCACATAATGTTGAACAACAAAGTGAAGACACCAGACACCCTTACTTACTGTAAGGAAAGGAACTTTGGTTTAACGAACTTCAACCATTAAAACGTTACCAAAAACATTAACCACAAGAAAAATTGAATTCGTTATTGATCCAGACTTTATCACGAAATTCTTTTTGTCATCCGACACAAAAAAATAAAACAAGAAAAGAACAAGACTTAATACACTCTTTAACTTAACGGCGGTTCTACCAAGAGAACTGACTTCACAGGAGTATACAACCAAAATTATGAACTGTGAAGTTGTTACGAGCATGGCATAAAATCTCAGAGGGAACATCTTTCTGGCCGCATCACACTCAAAAGCCTTCACACTCGTCAAAAAATGTGGCACCTGTGCACTTGGTGCACTTGAGTGAACATAGCAGACAAATTCAAGACAGAATTCACAGACAGGAGGCTAATGAATAAATGTAATAAGAGAAAGCAGCAAAATTAATTAAAATCATGAAAGCGGTTGTAACAGATTCCCATGTTCCGCACGACGGTGCTTTGGTGTACTCGAAAACACGTCGAGAAAAGTTTTGCACACCGAAGTGGACTATGACAAAAATTCACAAATATGGCTACTTTCACCAAACGCTCATACGCCTAATCTTTACATACTTCGGAATTGCCAGACGCTGTCATTCAACAAGTCAAGCCGAGGGCTATCACAACACAGAGCGAGTACACGCGTTTGATTTGAATAGCTTAAACCGAATAACCTTCACAAAAAAAAAGTCTTCACAAGAGAAAAGCACTTATTATTATAACTCACTATTGTCAACGCACACAATTATGATAACACAAACATACAAATGCAGAAATAGTTTTACCAAATATACAAACTTTCCAGAAAGGAACTGAAATTATTTGCTAACAGCCATCACGAGCATGAAATATCTGAGGAAAGTACGTTCTCCACGCGTCACATTCCAAAGCCTTAGTATTCGTCAAGAAGCGACAAACTGGCACAGCTTTTTTCTGGGTTACTGTACAGCATGAATGCCCTCGTGGCGGCGTAGATTTGAGGGATCGGAGAACTTCTTCGCGCACACCTTGCACTCGAAGGGCTTCGCACCAGAATGAATCATGCTGTGCTGAGTAAGAGTACCAAACCGGGCAAACTTCTTAGCGCACACGTCGCACTCGTACGGCTTCTCTCCATTATGGATCCTCTTGTGCCTCGTAAGAGTACTTTCCTGACTGAACTTCTTCCCACACTCGTCACACTGGTAAGGTTTCTCCCCGGTGTGGATCCTTGCGTGTCTCTCCAGATCCCTTGCCAAAGTCCACTGCTTGCCGCACACTCCGCACGCGTGCCGCCCCGCCTTGGAGTGCCCCGCCAGGTGCTTCCGCAGGTCCGCCTCGGCCCGGAAACTCTTGCCGCACTCCCCGCACTTGTACGCGAGCCGCGCCTTCCCGCCTCGCTGCCGCCGCGAGGCCTGCTCCACCTGCCCCGCACCGCCGGCCGGGCCAGCCAGCGAGAAGGTGCCGCTGATGACCAGCTGCGGGGTCTCCGCCGGGACGGGGCCTGCAACGCCGAGTGGGGTACCATTGAGAATGAAAGAGTCACCACCATCGCCCTTTCAATGGGTGGCGCACGCATCGTCGCCCAAATTTGGGTGACGAGCCAGCGGTGACCAAATTTGAGGCAGTCATAAAATCGTCATCCAAATTGGGGTAACGTCGTCGCCGTCGCCGTGAGGTCCCCGATGATATTCCTCCGGGGCCAACATGATGACTGCCATGTGGCTTCGAGGCCTCCGGTCATCGTGGTGGCCCCGGAAGGACGTAACCGGGAACCTCACGGCGAGCCGACGATGTTACCCAAATTTAGGCGACCTAACGCCTGTTACCTAATTACGGGTGATGAATTTTTCGTCACCCAAACTTGGGCAACGAAGTTGCATCCCCCATTTAAAGGGTGATGGTGGTGACCCATTTATTCCCAGTAGTGCAGAATCGTTAAGCGTGGGACACAGTGTAGTGCCAACCCTGAGAAGGACGACAACTAGAAGGACGGGACCAATCCACTTAAGCCTCAGGCAAAGAGCTCGTTTAACATTCATTGGTGCAACTAAAATTTATTTCATTGCAATTGAATCTACGTCCACCACGCCCGCGGCATCCCCGAAGACTCCACTCACCTTCGCCTCCAGAGTCGCCGTCCGCTCCGCGGTGCCGCCCTCCAGCCTCGGGGGCCTCCAGGTCCTCGCCCTCCACGGCGCCTGCAAGCAACTCTGCATTACTTGGCGGCCGTCCCATTCACTCCCTGAAAAAGCAAACGTGGTCTAGACCGCACCAACTGATGTTGCCAACTGGGTGCCATTTTGAAACCGCTTCAGTTGGTGTGGTCTAGACCACGTTTGGTGTGTTTGGTGCGGTCTAGACCACGTCTGGTGCGTTTGGAGTGGTCATCGCATTGAAAGGCCAAACCAACAGTGGCCAAAATGGCACCCATTTCACCGCACCAGTGGTGCGGTCTAGACCACGTTTAGTTTTTCAGTGCTGTCTGTGGACACAAACAGTTGCAGGCCTCAAGACTCGCAGCTGATATCGCTAGGAGTCCAAAACGATTGGATTGAAGCACAGTAAAATGCAAGCAGAAGCACCGAAAGCAATGATAAATAGGGGCAAAGCATAAACTTGGCAGCGTTTTCCCAGCGCCGCTCTAGGTGAAACTTTCTGTATCTTTTTAGCGATAGAATTGAGTATCACCAACAAACAACCTAGCCTTACCTTTAAGACGGAGATACGCAAAGGAATCACTTAAGTTTGACGATACTTTGGAGTATTGCAACGATTTGGCAATAAAGTGTTAGTATAAATCAAGGGAAATAGTTTTTTGTTTATTGCTAAATTTTGGTGATCCTCGAAAGCATCGCGTAATTTTTCTGTGTATCGTCGTTTGTTGGCGACAATGGTCAATTGTCCCCCCCCCCCCCCAAAAAAAAAAACAGAAAAAAATACGATTTCAAGAAATCCTAGGAGTCACGAAGTCAATTTGGGTAGGAGTGTGGGGAAAGCAAAAAAGTTATGTAAAAGGTAGGGGGTGGTTCAAGGGTGGCTACGAATGGCAGTGGTACCAATGTGGTCGATGTGCCACCCGTCAAAATTTAAACTTGGCAATAAAGAGAAATCAAAATGCCCGGGGAAAATTTGAAAAATTCCAATGCTAATGTATTCCACAGTGATCTGACAAAGGAACATCTTTGAAGTCCATCATTGTGAAAATGTTGGTAGCAGAAAGAAGGCAGTAAATTAATTTTCGCGGGTTGGCAACAATTTTGTCGGCGTCTGCGCCCTTGCGAAAATCGCGAAGCTGAAAACACGAGTATAGCCGCGCATTAAAACTGCCCCTCCATTGTTGCTGACGTTGAATTGTTTGGCTTGTTTCAAAAGGGTACGGTTCTCTAGTCATGTTTTTTTCAATTCCGAGGGGTCGGCAACTCAAAATTACTTCGTACGCGGTGGCTATATTACCCTATATTACCTGTATATTACCATATATTACTTGCATATTACCACAATTTCTCCTCTATAATACCCCTATATTACTATATATTACTTTGTATTACTTTATATTACACATATATTACCTATATTACTGGTAATATACGTATACTCCCTCGTACACGGCCAAGGGAAGTTGCCGACCCCTCGTTCAATTCTGTGTAATAGTTCTCACTCATAACGTGGCAACACCACGACGGTTGGCTTGACAAACTTTATAAACTCGAGAGGGATGGTCTCGAAACGCAGGTGAGTCTTGTTCGAGGAACATGAGCACTGAAAGTCGCGAGGTGGAGCGAAGTGATCATGGTGCTAACTGAATCAGAAGTACCATCAAACCTCGCTAAAAGGAGCGGCTACATGACCAGCTTATTCAAAAAAAAGCTAAAAGTCTTAAAGCGACTCTTAAACTACATTAAGGAAAGATAATTCACAGATGCATGTGCACAGGTACGCAGTTTTAAAAGGCTCAATTCACTCCGATTTGAAGAGTAACAAAAATTTTCAACAAAACAACAACAGAAACAACAACCCCAGCGGTGCGGGATTTGGGGCGGGACACTCTCATGAAAAGTCACTGGCCGGCCGGCCGATCCAAATGGCCACGTTCGAAACGACATCAATTCCATTGTTGGATCTCTTCTAGCTGCAGTCGAAGAGATTTTTCATTTCGAACGTGCTTTTTCATCTTTTGGGGTAAGCTGTACAGGGCCGAAAAGGAGCTCAGCTATTGGTCCGCCCCGGCTCGGGCTCCCCCCACTCCCTTCCTTTTTCCTTGACGAGTCGAGTTTTGCCTAAACAGCGATTTTGACAGCAAATTTCTCAAAATTGGCCGTTAACTTTTTAACCACATTTCAACATTAGAATCAGCGTTCAAAGTTCTACTAGTCTGTAAAATCTCACTAAAATCCTATAGAAAATTTCCAAAATAAAGGGCCACACGAATTGAATCTCGCGCCGGCTGAATCCTGGGTATACTATAAGGCTACTTCGTGCCTAAAAACACTCAAGAACCACCTTTGGATTTGCAGTGGGGGTACGCTAAAAATTCACGGCCTGCCTCGTTTGGAATGGGTTCGTCGCAGAAATTTGGCGCGTTGACTAACCAACCCTCTACAAATGAATTCATTAGTGATTTAAAAATACCGTAATTTATTCAATCTTACGGTAAAATACGTTTTAAACCGTAAAATACGTAATTTATTCCGTAATTTTCGTATTTTTCGTAATTTTTCCCTAAATGGTCAGAAACACACGAAATTTGTATATTTTGACCTTTCTGACGCACAAGCGAATCACTGCTGCCGTGTGTACCCTGCTGCATTGTTTCAGTGAAATTGGAGGGTGGGACTTACACACGGAACACCTCTAGCATCCCTCGTGCAAATTTTCACAGAATTCTGTGATTTTTGAAAATCGAATTCTAGGAGGAAAGATTCTGATTCATCTTCTGATTTCTGATTGTCAGTTAGAAAATTTCAAACTGACTAGCGCGGCAGAAAATTTCTGATTGTGTCATCAGGATTTCCTGATAGTAATATTTCCGATAGCCAATAAAACCTTGTCTGATGGGTTTTCTAGATTTTGTTACGAAAAGTAGAAAAGAGCACCAGGTGATGTTGATGGTGCAAAAATGTCCAAGCGTTCATGGCTATTTTAATTTTATGGACATCGAATCATTGTTGATACACCTAATCACGAGCTACCAAAAATCGGACTTAAGATTTGGATCGGAGTATGAGTTTGACTCCCCCCCACCTCCCCACGGTGTTTCCACCTGAGCTATCCCAACCCTGCCCTGCTCCACCCCGAACGATTTTAAGACAAAAAAGAGTCTGAAATCATAGCATTGTTGTATGGATTGCTGTCATTTAACTTAGACACGTCTTTCGGGAAAAATACGAATTTTACGGGGAACGTTTATTACTTACGTATTTTACGTAAAATACGCCCGTATTTTACGCGTATTTTACCGGGACTAAAATCACTAAATGAAAGTAAAAGCCGCTGCAATTCTCTGACCTTGCGCTCTACACTGCCTGACCAGCGACCGAGTTCCACATAGGACCACATAGGTTCCAACCGAAATTCGAAGTTTGCACGAGTCACACGGATACGGTGCGCAGCTGAGTTTCCCGTTTAACCGTGCTCCGTTGCGATGGAAACGCTACAAATTGACTCAATTGAATCAGTGGAAAGCAACGGTCAACTGTTTGCCCAAGAAGTGCAAGCTAGCGTGCCAGCGTTCCGGCCGCCGCGGCGGTCCACGCGTCGCCACTCCACCCACCTTGGTCCCCAGGGCCGGCGTCCTCGTCCGCTCCGCAGTCGCGTCCTCCAGGCGCCTCCAGGTCCTCCGCCTTCACAGAACCTGCAAGCAAGGCGGACTTCAGAAACCAGCCAGCCAAAACGTGCGGCCAACGCCGGGCGAGTTTCCCAGTCCTCGCGGCGGGCTGGGCCGCAGGAAGGCGTGGACACGGAGAGACTCGGCCAGCGAACCACAGGAACACGCCACGGCCAACCCATGCCAGAAGCCATGCAAAACACCTGCCCAGCAAAACTACCATAAGCTGTAATTGAATACTCAGTTATTGGTATGTACTAAACAAGAAACGCACAGCAAATTATCAGACTTTTATTAACATCAAATTATGAAGTACACATTATACTGCACTGCTCTGTACACTACTCAGGGCTCGCTTAACAGTGGGAAGCACATGCTGGGAAGAAGCCGCCAAAGTGAGCAAGTAAGTCGACGATCTTCCTACCCTCGCACAGCCCTGGTCCTGAAACAGCACACAAATATAATACAGGAGTCTAAGAAATAATGGCAAAAGCAGCAAAAATTGACGGCATGTAAAGGGCTGGAACAAATTCTGAAGTACAGCACGACAGTACTCTGTTGTACTCGCGAACACGTCGAGAAATGTTCTTCACACCGGAGAGGTCCGTGACGAAACACACAGTAATGGCTTCTTTCATCCAAACATCCTACGTTGAAATTTATGTCGGCATTCTCAC